AGTGTCAGTGGCATGTTGGAGGAAGCGCGAGGGTAGCAGGCTGACTGGAGAGGAGTTGATAATGGTGAGAGGAGTGGGAGACAGAGGCCAAGGTCAGCAGGCTGAATTCTGCAGGCTTTTGCTGATGAGAGTCTCGCGTGACTCTTGCGTGAGGTTGGGACTTGTGAGAAGAGGGTCATTCTCTTAAATGAGGTCTAGTTGAAAGCCACAACCACGAGTCAGCAGGTCTACAGCATAGCTGTGGCTAAAGATGCTTTTGACCCGCCAGGGTCGATGGAAAGGCGATGGGAAGAAGTAGTCAGCCACTGGATGGGTTCTGTAGCTAGAGCCCCCTGAGTTTGCTGGGGTGATAGCTATGGGACACAAATGAAAGAGAAGTGTTGAGGGTGGCTTTAAGTCCTGACCAGTTTGATGGACGAAGTTGCCGTGGCAGAGAAGGGGAACACTAGTAAGAGTTATTTTCCTTCATTGAGGGGAGAAGGGATTGTATTAAGGAAGCCAGCTGAGGAAAGAAAGTATTTCAAGATGGAATGAATTATTGTACCAAATCCTGCTTGCAGACTAGAGGTTACATTAAACTATATGGCATTTCCCGTGTTCTACTTTAGCTTAGTTTACAGTGTTAAACACGCTGTTTGTATTTAATTAAATTTGCTTGCTTCACTAATTGAAATATGCTACATGTAATGAATGACTCATCATAGGGAAGAAAATCACTTTCCCTCGCCCTCCCTCAGGTTGCTTATCAGTGAAACAAGTGAATTTGGCCAGACAGTTTCTACAAAACCTTCTATTCTTGGAAGCTTCCCACCTGTAAATTGTGTGTGTGTGTGTGTGTGTGTGTGTGTGATTTTTTTAATTCAAGACAGAATCCATTGGAATATTAGACATTTTCAGGACAATCCAAATTTAATGTCCTTTCTGTTTGGTCTCTCTAAAACAAGTGGGCTTGGATGTAATATCATCTTTTCTTGTTTTGTTTATCTTTCTGGCTATCTTCCTTCCTCCTGGCTTTCAAGACCGGTGAGGAACTTCTGTCTTCTGGAACCTGGAGAAGGCGGTACTGGAGCCTGCTTTGGACTAAGAGCGGGAGTCTTTGGTGGCGGCCTGAGGAGATTCGCAAGCCCAATGTTGCCCTGATATTTGCGTCCGAGTTTTGAGAAAATTACGACTCCTAAGGTATGGACTGGTGCATACATGCCTATGCAAGATAGCTAAACATGATCATTTTCACACATTTTCTTCCTCCCTCTTTTCTAGCCCCTTCTTTTCTCCTTTCAAGGAAAACTTCTGCTGTCTGCGTGTGGGATGTGGAGGGTGAAAAAAAATATGGTGGTAGAATAACTTGGAGAGGGACAGCAATAATGGTTGTACTATAATACACAGAGTATAACCAATGGCACTGAATTATACATATGGACGTGTTGAATTGGTGAAGGTTATGTGGTGTATATTTTTGCCAAAATTGAAAAAAAAAAGAATGAATACAATGATTTTGGGGAAAAAAAAAGTTCTAAAAATGATTTTGGTAATGATTGTTTAACTCTTCTTGATATAGCTGAACTATGGAATTGTTTGGTATGTGGATGAAGTGCTCAAAAAAACGTGTGTGTGTGTGTGTGTGTGTGTGTGTGTGTGTAGATAGAGATAGAGATAGAGATGGAGTAATTGAAGGAAGCCTCGGTGGCTACAGCAATAAAGATGTGGCCAGTAAAACAATCAACAGTAAAACACAGTGTGGGAACATGGATAGAGATTTGTTCCATCATCATTGAAATAGAAACTAGAGAAATTGAGCTATATGTTTATGAGATCAAACCTTTGGAAAGACAGAAAAAAAAAGAAATGGTGCTGTGTGATCTCTTGTTTATTCCTATCCTCAATACCATTGGGAGACTTTTTGCAAAAGGTTTTTTATTTATTAATGTTTTCAGGGATACTTTTTTAATACATACCCATATTCGGTAGACACTGAATTTCAATGAAGAAGTTTTTTGGTTTTATTTTTCAATTGTGGTTACACTAATAGTCACCATGGTTATTATAACTAGACATTACACACACATATGCTTACATAATTATATTCATACACAGCCATACATCCATTATGTATACCCACTTACGGGGAAGGTGATGAAGAGAGGAGGCAGAAAACAGTACATGACTACTAGTTATGGAATGATTATTGTGAGTCATAAAAAAAATTACACGTATAACGATTAACAATCATCAGGAATAAAAAATGTTTCACTGTGAAACCAGCCAAGTGAGAAGTCATGAAGGTCTTCTAATGCAATATGGCAACCAAGGGACAGGAGCCAGACTCATTCTCAGAGTTCTCAGGTGTTCGGTCTTGCCTACTGCTCTATATGAGTGCGACTTGACAGAAACTACCATTTAAGAACATTGGTGGAATAGTTAACTGCGTAGGACCACATGGCATGCCAGGAGAGATTGTTAGGTGCCCTCTGACAATTCCGTTAATAAATAATATGATGCCCTTTTACTCTTGTTTAATATATGTATACTCTCATATCAAAAAGGAATTCTGGGACATGAGAGCGCAGCATTGACATGGTATTGAGCTGACTCGGGCTCTCTGTGTATCTAACACCTGTGCAAGGCAGAGAGGCCCGGAGTCAGTGACCATCAACTTGATGGTCATCATAGGTCTGCCCAAAGTGTCACTGAGGTCATCGCTGCTGCAATAAGAGTGTGGGTCTACTTGGAATATTGAGGATGAATTGCATTCATTTTCTATCCAGTATTGGAAAATCCCCCAAATGCCACTGTAGAAATGATTTGCTCCGCTATTCACATTGCTTTGAGTCACTCTGAAAGAGTATTAAGAGGTGTGCGAGAACAAGGGGAACTTTATAAGCAAGCTCACCTCCTTTCTCTATTCAGGTGCATTGTTTTATGGAGAGCATGTAAATTGTTTTTCCCTTTTGTATCAAAAGGCATTTTCAAAATACTTCAAATATAAACATTAATATAAGAATGTGTTGTCCATTAACATTATTTTGAAGGTTAAATGGATAATTCGGAAACAAGCAAAAACCCAAAAGCAAAAACACTGTACCTTTTTGTTGTGTGTGTATATGCCTTTTATGAGTCTTAGAAGAAGTATAAACATTCTGCATAATAGAAGTTGAGTTGTGATAATGATCTCTGCTCACAACCTGGATCTACTGGGATGAAACGCCATACAGCTCATCTCTGCTTGTTGTAAGAAAACAAACCAAAAAGCCTGGGAGAGCCTAGAGCTTTAGCCTGGCATTGTGATGACTGATGGAGTTTTATACGCTGAGAGTGTTGACCTTTAATTCAGAATGTTTGCGTTTTGTCAAGAATATTCACCTACATGCCAATTATCTAAACTATAAATTCAGGGAAGAAATATTTAAAGGATTTGACCATAACATTTTTCTAGTTAACAGACTAATCAACCCATAAAGGGAAAACAAAATTATCTTTGACTGTTGGCAAGGGATACAAGGGTTACTTTGCAATGCATGTCCACTGGCAGTGCCTGCATTATGTGCATACCCCTGCTCACAAGGCAAAACCCAATTACCAGGACAAGAAAGAAGGAAATGAGGCAGTTTGGGTGCCATCAATCTAGTACCATGTTTTCTGCCTCCTATTCCTCTGGTTCATTGAGCTTATTTTTTCATGTGCCACTCTAAGTGAATCTGGTAGACTGTAAACTGTGGTTAAAAGCCCAGACTTTAGAAAAGGCAAATCAATGTTCCAATCAAAGGTCTGTGTGAACATTAGAAAAGCCATTTACTTCTTATCGGCCATCGGCCAGTGCTGCCCAAAGTGTGGGTTGGTTTGGAATGAAAATGCTCAGAATCTATCCCAGATTTACTGCATCAGAATCACTGGTACCAAGAACCAGGAATCTCTGTTTAAACAAGTTTTCCAGGTAATCCATATGCTTTCTGGAAGTTTGAGAGCTACTACTGAGCCTCAAGAGATGACTACAGTAGATTAAAGTGATAAATGTGATTTGAACAGTTAAAACCTTGTTTTCTGAACTCCTTATTGGGTTTATCTCTCTTGTATTGTGTTACTATTGGTAGCATTCCTGACTCTGTGATGTGTGTGGTTACGTGTGTTTCGGTGGCTGAATCCAGGTTGGGTAAGTCTATAGAGAGACAACAATTAGAATAAGGGTTCCAGAGGGTGTGGCAGGAGACATGGGGGCAATAAGGAGCTGATATCAAATAATACAAGAAAGAAGAAAATGGTTTGAAAATGATTGTGGTAGCAGTTATATAACACTGATTGATATGAGTGAACTATTGAATCATATGATGTCTGGATTATGAGGGGGTACCCCCAAAAAAACAAATTTATTTTTTCAAAGTGACGTATTTACATTTTTTTTTACAAAATAACCATATCACCTTTAAAGTACTCTTCATTACACTTAATATATTTATCAAATCTGTGAATCCCTTTTTTGAAACATTTTTCTAATGCTTGGATGCCTGACAGAACCTCACTCATTTTTTTTCTTCACCTCTTCTATGTAAGCAAATTGCTGTCCTTTCACGTTCCTCCACATTTGTGGAAACAAAAAACGTTGCACATATTGGGGTCAGGTGAGTAAGGTGCACAGGGCAACAGAGGCATGCTGTTTTTTGCCAAACACTAGTACACTGAGATGAGTGTGCAAGCAGGTACATTGTCACAGAGGCAAAAACAGTCCCCCGTCTGCCACAAATCAGGCCTTTATTATCCCACACTGGTATGTTATCTTTTCAGAACCTCTAAATAAAAAGCTTGATTAACCATCTGACCTAGTGGAATGAACTCCAAGTGCACTAGGAATCAAACTTTATATCTCTTCAGGAAGTTGATGGATGTCCAGAACAAGGTTTGTCCTCATTTGACATTTCAACTTTTTTGAAACAATAAAGCTACTCATATACTTGAGTTTTTCCCATAGTGCTGTATTTGTAGGGTGTGTTCAACATCACAAAAATTTCTGCGGCATTTTTCCCAAGCAGGAAACAAAATTTCACGGCCGCACCCGTTCTCTTAAATCAGCCTTAATAAAAAATGAGGTTCTAGTGAAACTGCTTTTACAAAAAAATGCATTGTGAGCAGACAGAACCTTCCCAGGCGATGTCACTGGGTGCACTAATTTAGAGACAGTTGCCTATGGTGCCTAGGGGGGAAATGCATACTATGAAAGCCCCACTTAATGGAGCCTTTTCTGTTTTGGGGGTATGTGTGCCCCCTTTAATGTCTTAATAAAATAATTCAGGAGAAAATAAAAGAAATCTGAAGAAGATAGTTTATAAAAATCTCTCATGCACGTAAGGCTAGGGCTATCTGAGAATATTAATGATCAATATACCCTCCTTTTTATGTATACATCGAAATGGAAAGGAAAACATATTTTTCAAAATCCTATAGACAAAGTCCCTGAGGGGTCAAACATGGGATTGATTATGAGGACAGCACAGGACTGGGCAGTGTTTTCTTCTCTTGTACGTAAGGCTACGTTTTGACTCTTGTACATTAATTTTAATTTTCATCAACTACAACCTGAACTTGCACATGAGCATGCAATTTATGGTCTGCTTCATAGTCTGCCCCTAGCTCTGTTTGGGCTGATACTAATGTGCTTCTCTGGAATCGCTTTCCACAGATGTAGTCCCTTGGATTCCTGTGTATTCTATCTAGCAAGGTACACAAGTGTACTACTCACCACTTGTGTTTTGAAAAGTGGTATTTGCAGTGACATTGTTGGTCTTACAAAATTCTATCATGCCATTTCCAGCTTCATTTTTATCACCAAGACCATAATTTTAAAATATTGTTAACATTCCATTCACTACTAATTATCAAATTCATTGTGATAGCAAGTTTGATCAATGTCTTACTTTAGAAGTTTTGAAATACCTGTGATATAGCATCTAGCACCACAGCAACATGCAATCCACTTAAATACAACAACATTAAGGACAAAGGGGCAATTTGGGGAGGTACAAGTTAATATCCAAGACTACTCTTGGTCTCAAGGATCATTGAGTTAAAGCAAAGTCATCTCATCTTTGCAGTGTGACTTTTTGACCATGTCAAGAGAGACCGGTCCCTGGAGAAGGGCATCATGCTTGGTAAAGTAATGGCAATGAAAGAGGAAGGCCCTCACTCGGTGA